TAGTATTTTAATAATAGAGGGGACTCTAGTAGTTTAGAAGGGGTTCCTCTAGGACTATCTTATGGTTATAAGGCTAGTAGATTAGAAGTTTATTAGCCTTAGCCTTGTTAAAGACGTCCTAATAGGAGTCGTAGTTAGATAGGAGCTTCTTATCTAACAAGTAGTAGTTAAGAGTATCCTGTTTAGATAGGGTTTAGATCCTACGCTTAATCTTATACAGGCTAGTAGTAAAGAATTTATTAGAAGATTTTTTTATATTAAAATAGAAAGTATTAGTAGAAATAGTAGCAATTTAAAATTTTGCAGGTAGGGTAATAGTTAGTAATTAGACTAGGGTAGGTAGTGTAATAGGTTTAGTAGCAGCCCTATAAGTAGCTAGAATTTTAAGTATACTACGTATCCTGTTAATTAAACTAGGACTATTTTAGTTCTAGTTCTCCTCTTAATCCTAAAGGGCGTCTCTTTACAAGATATCGTGGGTAACTAGAGTAGACAGCACTTGCTAGTAGAGTTGTACTAGAATAGGAGGTACGGGGTCGTAGGTTAGAGGATATTTCTCTAGCTAGATTAGTTAAGATTTATCTGTATTAATTAGGATTTAGAACTGTTTTAGCTAGTGTTGTCTAATAATATAATCCTAAGAACCTAAGTCTACTATTATAAAGGGGCAGTTATAAACCTTTTAGCTACTAACTATTATATAAAGCTAAATATAGTAGGCAACTAGGGAGGTAATCTAATTCTAGAACCCTTTAATAGTAAGCTTGTATAGTAGCTTTTAGATAGGTACCCTAAGCGTGGAAGAGATATTATAAGCAATTTTTAAATTAAGAAATAAGTAACCTTAGGCCCTAGTATCTACTAAAGCGTTTAGGCAAACACTAGATCTATTAAGGCATAGGGTTATACGTGCAAGTAAATAGGAACTAATAAATAATTTAGTTAAGGAAAGGTTTAATAGGTTATATTAAGTTAGGCCTAGGAAGGAGGATCCTCCTAGGCGTTGTTGTTTCCCGTCTAATAGCTATCTAAATTAGTTAATTTAGCGGTTTCTTCTTCCTTAGAATTCTTAATAACCTATTCTATATCTATAGCCTAAATCCTAGGGGGTTTAGGGCAGTTACTAGAGAAGTGCCTAGGCTTTCTACAATTATAGTAAGTTACTAGGGTTCCTATTATAGTAGCGCTAGGAGTAGCTAGCGTTATAGATAGGGGTTAATTATTTTAAGGGGTAGTGCCTTATTATTGCAAGTAGGGCATATAAGGTTTAGCCGTTAAAGGTCTATTATAGGGTTTCTAATTAGCGTCTAAATAGGACTAGTTTCTAGAGTATTAGAAGGGGGTTAGTCCTTTTCTAGATAATAGAGTAGTCTAGGTAGGAGTAGACAAGGTAGGGTATAGGTAGCGTTCTATATTAAAAGCGGTAAGATAATCTACTATAGTCTTAAAATTATTGTGCTAATTCTATTAGAAAGTAAGATTTAGTATCCTTAGGGAAAGTGTAATCTTTATCTAGAGGTAGTAATACTACTCTAATTAGGGTACTTCTCCTCTAATAGCAAGACTCTAGAATTATAACTTAAAAGTAGGGAACATCTCTATATTAGTTATATATAGGCGGTTAAATATAGTCTAACTCTTAGCTATCTTATTTCTAGTAATAAAGTAAGTTTAAAGGAGGGTAATTATTTCCTTAGCTTTTTAGAATTAAAGACTTAGGGAATTAGATAGGTAACGTGGCTCTAAGTATTCTCTTGCTAGTCCTAAGTAGTGTCCCTAGACTAACGCTATCCAAGCTCTAGAAGAGGGGTAGTAATTAGCGTTAATCTCTAGCCTATCCTAAATAGATGCTTACTATTATCTAAAAATAGGATTAGCACTATTACTAAGTGTAGAGATATTTAGCGTCTTTTTAGATTATCTCTTAGCTTTTATAGTATATACTATAGGGTTTAATATAGAAGCTAAAGACTAGCTAGGTTAGGTAGTACCCTATATCTCCTTATAGAGGGAGGTGTTGTATAACTAATTAGTAAGTTGCTTAACTTGTTCCTCTAACCTCTCCTTTTTAGATAGGGTTAATATGTATTTATCTTTAAGGGAGGTGTTACTTTAAGATTTCCTAGGAGCACAAGGTACCTTAAGAGATAGATAGGAAGTAGGTCCTTCTAGGAGGGCGTTGTTAATTAAGTCTTCCTTATCTAATTTCTTTCTATTAGTAAATAGGCTTTTAAAAGTGGCTAAACTAGATACCCTTCCTTTACCTTTGTCTAATATTTTGTAGTTAATAAGAATAATAAATCTTTTCTTTAGGGGGGTTTAGTTGTAGGAGGATATTAGCTTTGCCTCTAATTCCTCTAGGCTTTTAGTAGTCTCTAGGTCTCTAACTTAACGCAATCTAACGGGATTTTTCTAAAGGTAATCTAGTACTACCTATAGGTCTAGAAGTCTAAGCCTATAGGCTTTAGTTATTAGAAGTTCTAATAGCTGTTCTAACTATAGAGTTGCAGGGTTAGATAGATACTAGAACTAAATTAGTAGCTTAAAATAACAACAACTGCAATATTCTTAAATGCTATTACTAGCTAGGATAATGTTCTTCTTATAATATAACAACTTAGGTAGGTAGGGCATCTAAAAGGTATCCTATACAACTTAAAGGTATATAGGAGTGCGCGTCTATATAGAAAAGGATAAGATTCCTACACCTATAGGTCTTGTACAAAAGGACAAGAAGAATATGCCTATCCTAACTATAGGCGAGCTGTTCTCTATATATATTAGTGAGTTAGGCCTTTATTGGTCCTGACTTGGCATAGAACAATAGGCAGGCAATTCTGCCTTATTGTTACAAATAAGTGCTTAGAGGGTTACTCTTCCTTAATTAATAAGCTCTATATAGGCTAGGGTAAGGATCCCTTAAACTACTATATTATTAACCTATATAAAAAGGTTCTAAATTACTAATAACTTTAATACCTAATCTAATAAGTAGGCTTAGTACTAAGCTATTTAGAGTTTATACTGCTTGCTTATTATATTAGATAGCGTAATACCTATTAGTATATTAGGCTTAATAGGTTTATTCTTAAAGTAGTTTTTAGTATCCTAAGTATTACGGTCTACCTCTACCTAGATCCCTTTAGTTAGGGTATAGTATCTAAATTAAATATACTAGGTAGGCTAGTTAGTTAATCTAGTAAGTAGGATATCCCCCTTTAGGATTTAGTTACTTATAGT